TCTCTTTGATAACTACAACTTCCTCTTTTACCCAGCTGAAGGCACCCCCCCAAGCTAACCTTTCAGCCAATAGCTTTTTATGCTACGTTACAGACAAGATTATACAGTTAAGGAATTAATTCTCCCCTCTTTGCTCCTCTGTCTCTAAGCTGCACCTGGGCCGTACCTTCCCTATCCTTCAGGACTTCTCAGCTACTGAACAGGAGGTGTCTGCACTTCTCCTCTTATCCCACCACTTGTCCACTTGATCTTGTCCCCTTCCATCACACCAGATCTCTCTCTCCGTGTCTTGTACTATACTTAACACATCATCAAATGCTCTTCTCATCTGGTGTTGTCCCTACTCCCCTTAAACATGCTACTGTCATATCCATCCTAAAAGAGTGATCTCTACACCCGTCTTCCACCTTACAGCTATTGTCCCATATCCCTGCCCCCTTTATCCTCAGTGCTTCTAGAAACACTCGTTTGGTTTGCTTCTTCTATTCCAACTCTCTCCTCGACCTACTTCAATCTGGCATCCGCCCCCTCCACTTTACTGAGACTACTTTAATTAAAGTTACAAATTACCTAATTGCAGTTAAATCCAAGGCCACTATTCCATATGAATTCTCCTTGATCTCTCTGCCGCCTTTGACACTGTTGTTCATATCCTCATTCTCCAAACTCTTCAATCCCTCTGTCTCTGTGACACTGTCCTCTCATGGTTCTCCTCCTATCTCTCCCAGTGTTCATTCAGTGTCTCCTTTTCCAATGGCACCTCCACCCCTCGTCCTGTCTTAGTTGGAGTCCCCCAAGGATCTGTCCTTGGCCCCCTTCTGTTTTTTACTTACACAGCCTCTCTTGACAAACGTATTAATTCCTTTGGATTCCACTGCCACCTGTGCACTGATGACAACCAGATATATCTCTCGTCCCCTGATATCTTCCCCACTGGTCTACATGTTATCGCATGCCTTTCTTCCATCTTTGACTTGATGTTATCTTGCTTTTTGAAACTCAGTCTCTGTAAAACCAAGCTTCTTATTTTTCCTCCTTGTAATACTGACCCTCTTCTTTCACTTTTCATCAAGTTGATGGTACCTGCATCAGTCTGTCCTTGCAAGTCTCGGAGTTATCTTTGATTCTGGCTTTACCTTTGCGCCTCATATCCAGTATGTTGCTAAAACCTGTCGATTTCACCTTAAAAACATTGTCTGTATCTGCCCCTTTTCACCCAAGATGCTGCTGAGGGGTTTGTCCATGTTCTGTAATCTCTCACATGTAATACTCTACAAGTTGGTCTCCCCAGAATCCATACTGCCCCACTACAGTCTGTAATGAATGCTGTTGCCAGGCTGATCTTTCTCACCTGACGCTCCTCCCATACCTCAACCCTCTGTCGATCCTTACACTGGCTTCCTGTAATCAGATGTTGATTTAAAATACTAACTCTTACCTATAAAGCTCTAAACAACTCTAGCCCCTACTACATGTCTTCACTAATGCATGGTATGCCCCTTCTCGGTTTCTGCACTCTGCCTGTGACCTTCTCCTGTTTGCTGCTTGCACCCTTACTGCTAACTCAAGTCTGCAGGACATTTCACAGGTGGTTCCTTTCCTTTAGAACAGCCTGCCTACCCCCACCAGACTCTTCCCTAGTCTTCAAACATGTAAGAATTCCCTCAAAATCCATTTGTTCAGAAAGGCCAACAGAGTAAATTCCATGTCACATATCTGTCCCTTGCTCTGTCCTAAAGAGCCACACTTCACTCTCACCTCCAGTCCTGTTACTTTACCATATTGTTTATTTGCTTTCCCATTTGATGCCTTTCCTACTGTGTTGTTATACTCCACCTTAGACTGTAAGCTCATTTGAGCAGGGTCCTAATCAACCTATTGTTCCTGTATCATTCTGCAATTGTCTTGTTTATTGTTTAAAGGACCACTATAGTGCCAGGAAAACAAACTCGTTTTCCTGGCACTATAGTGCCCTGAGGGTGCCCCCACCCTCAGGGTCCCGCTCCCGCCGGGCTCTATGGGGAGGAAGGGGGTTAAAAACTCACCTTTCCCCGGCGCTGGGCTCGCTCAGCGCTGGGGACTCTTCTCCTCCTTTGGCCGTCATCGGCTGAATGCGCATGCGCGGCAAGAGCCGCGCGCGCATTCAGCCAGTCCATAGGAAAGCATGCTCAATTCTTTCCTATGAACGCTGGCGTCTTCTCACTGTGAAAATCACAGTGAGAAGCGCAGAAGCGCCTCTAGCGGCTGTCAATGAGGCAGCAACTAGAGGCTGGATTTACCCAAAGGTAAACATAGCAGTTTCTCTGAAACTGCTATGTTTACAGCAGGCATGATTAATTCCAGATGGACCTGGCACCCAGACCACTTCATTGAGCTGAAGTGGTCTGGGTGCCTATAGTGGCCCTTTAAATTCCCCCTTTCATAATATTGTAAAGAGCTGCAGAATAAGTTGGCGCTATATAAATGCCAATAATAATGATTATAATAATGAAAGGTGATATTAAAAAATATAGAATATTCAGCTAGAGAAAAGCAAGGGGACAAGAACAGAACCTTGGTGTATTTTAACAGATACAGGTAGTGAAGAGAAAGTGTCTGAAAAGGAGACACTGAAAGAACAATTTGAGATATCAAATTTGGTCAAAGAAAGTATAGTGTCAGAGATACTTAAATTAGTGTAAAGTTAGCTGGCTGAATATCAAGTGGTGATTGGAGAGTGCTGTTTAGATTTGGTTAAGAGAAAATAAAATTTTATTTTCTTTCGTGCTGTTCCAGTTGGCATGTTGGGGTTGGATTCCCGATTGTATGGGGTTAAGTAGGGAGGTAGATGAGAGAAAATGAGATAGGCAAATGTTGACCTATCTTTCCAGTAACTTAGATGCTAGAGAATGAAGCAAATATATAGGGGGATAGCCGTAAAGTAGAGATCTAAAGAGGGTGTCTGTGCATTTAAAAGAAACAAAATACAAAATTGAACTGAGGACAACCATAGAAATACAGATTATGTCACAAAAAGTTTACAATGAACTCATATACTACAATCTCAATTATTTTGACAAATCAAGGCTCATGTTTCTCAGATAATGGATAATTACTTTCTCTGGAGAGTTTCAATATAATAGCTGAGTTTGCAACCAAGAAATGTTATATTAGTCGTATGTCAGAATGATGAAGAGACATTTGCTTTACAAAGCACTACATTCTGTTCTAAATAAATGAAAAAAGCAAAATCATTATGGAGGACTTGAGAAAATAATATATTAAATACATAACAGTCCAAATGGTTGTTGGTGCAGTTAATTATCTCGTGTCGTAGAGCTGTATGTGGTCCGGGTAAGGGTCTTGGGGTATGGGTGGGGTTGAGGGAAGGGTATGTCATCCCTCTTTTGGTCCCTGTTACTTCAGTATAGGTCTTATCTTCTTTATCAAAGTTCAGGGTGTTTTGTGTGTGGTTTAGTGCGTGGTTTGACTTTTTCCTGTTTGTGTGTGTAGTTTGGGGTTGTTTCTAGTACAATGTTTCCGTCTATTTGGTTGACTTCTCTGTCTTTTTCTTCTGTTATCGTGAGGTAGTACAACTGTGGTTAAGGTATGTTAGGGGTTGTGGGTCATTTCCCCACGGGTGTGTTACCCTCTCTCCCCTTCTCCTGTGTCGCCGATCCCTGGGTGATTAGAGTCTTATTCGGTGCTTTCACAATCTTACCTGCCAGGGGGTCCGGGATAGGTTATGTGGGCACTGGTCGATCCCACAGGAGTCCTGAGGTAGGTCAGGGTGGTGGGGGGGGGGCTGAGGGAGGTTGCTTTGTTTAGGTAATGCATTGTTCAAGTGTGCCCCGTTTTCTCTTGTGTCGCGTCTCCTCCCACCCTGTGCTCGTGAGTGTGTTAGGTAAATGTACCATGGCCTCCATAGTTCTGTGTGTTTCTTCATCACTGTAAGTCTGTATTCTTTGCCTCCGCTGTGTGGATTTCTTCAACTTTCTGTTGCCATTGCGCAATCGAGGGTGGTTGTGTGCTTTTCCACATCGTTGGGATTAGGGCTTTAGCCGTATTGAGTAGATGTCTCATAATGGATCTCTTGTATTGTGCAACGGATTGGTCCGTGAAGTGGAGTAGTGCGGTTTCAATGCTGAGTTCTGGTATATCACCTAAGATCTCGTTCAGTTCTTGTCAGATTTGTTCCCCCTTCTACGAAACTGGCGCATTTATGCAAAACCTCTGCCCTAGCCGCTACATCTTTTGAACCCAAATCCTTTTCCTATGCTGTTTCTAAGGATCAGCTCAATGAAGTGGTCAGGGTGCCAGGTCCCTCTAGTTTTAACCCTGCAGCTGAAAACATAGCAGTTTCAGAGATGTTTCACTAGAGGATTAATCCAGCCTCTAGTGGCTGTCTCACTGACAGCCGCTAGAGGCACGTCCGCAATTCTCACTGAAAACTCACTGTGAGAAGACGCTGGCTGTCCATAGGAAAACACTGAGTAATGCTTTCCTAAGGGCAGTTTGAATGCGCACGCGGCTCTTGCCGTGCATGCGCATTCGGATCTGACGTCGGCAGGGGGAGGAGAGGTCACCAGCGCCGAGGGAGCCCGACGCTGGAGAAAGGTAAGTGGCTGACTGGGTTTAAAGGGGTTAAAACCCCTTCAGCCATTTATCTTAATCCAGTGCCGGGCTCTCTCGGCGCTGGTGAACTCTCCTCCCCCGCCGACATCAAGAGCCGCGCACGCGCATTCAAACAGTCCATAGGAAAGCATTTCTCAATGCTTTCCTATGGACGTTCTGCAAGCTGGATGCGATTTTTGCATCTGGAGGGTTAAAATCTGGGAAAACTGGCACCCAGACCACTTCATTGAGCTGAAGTGGTCTGGGTGACTATAGTGTCACTTTAAATACCATGGGTTGTCTACTTTTACAAATGGTATGCCAAGATGGGAAATATAAGACAGATATCGCACTAGCGAACGCTAGAGCCAAAATAAATGTAGTATTTTTCTGCAGAAAACACCATTATGAAGCGAAATCGACCAAGCGGGTCTCAGCAACGAAAAATTCAGAAGGCAAAAGAAAAGTCAGCTGAGGAGATGTCTGGATCAATTTTAAAATATGTTGCACCTTCAACATCTACCGCAGAAGGAGAAAGCGCTGAAGACGTTCAGTCTGTTGAATCCAGAGGTGAAATGCCTGAAGTATCTTCTCAAGAAGCTTCGTATGTGAAAGCACAAGAATTGGAGAAGATCATTTTATCTTCAAGCGGTGAAAGTGATGTAGATGAAGGCGATGCCAGCATCAGCAAGACTCTGATGATGATGATGAAGAAGAAGAGGAGACTGTTTGACTGTCAGTTTATTCTAATGTTGCTGCTTGGCCAGTTCCAGTTCCAGATGTTTTAAGAGTGGACCTTATTAAGAGGGGAAGTGAACCTTTCCAAAATAGAGATGGGCCATTCAGTCCTGTTGAAAGGCAAGGAGAGAAATCAAAAGGGAAGAGTCGACAGTTGACCACTGCATGGTTCTATAAGGCTCTGCCTAATGGCAAAAAAATTCTTAGAACGTGGATGGTGTACTCTCCATCAAAACAAAGTTTGTTTTGTTTTTGCTGCAGACTTTTTGCTGTTGATGACAAAGTAACAGGGGCATCCAGTTTTGTTACTGGGTTTCAATTGTGGTGGAAGCTGAACCCAAAGGTGTCTGATCATGAGGCTTCTGAGCAGCATCTTACATGCTTGGAGAAATGGAAGACCTTGAGAGCAGGATTAAAGCTACAAAATTGCATTGATCATTTCCATCAAACAACAGTGGACAGAGAGTAAAGGAAATGGAGGGATATTTTGCATCGCCTTTTAGATGTAACTTTGTTTCTGGCTCACCAGAATCTTCCCTTTCGTGGTCATAGAGAGACCATGTCATCCGCAAACAAAGGCAACTTCCTCGAATTGGTAGAATTGCTCTCAAACTATGATCCCATTTTAAAGGAACATTTCATGAGGCTGAAACATGCTGTTGCATCTGGAAAGAGAATGACTTCCTATTTCTCTCCAAAAATTCAGAACAAATTAATTTGTCTTTTGGGAAATCACGTGAAGGACAAAATAGTGGCTGATATCAAGAAAGCAAAGTACTTTGGGATTCTTTTTGACAGCACCCCTGATGTGTCCCACACTGATCAGATGTGTGAAGTGATCAGATATGTTCATATTGAAGGGGACCATGTTGAAGTAAAGGAATCATTCTTGGGCTTCTTTCCTGTTGCTGAAAAGACTGCTGCTGAGCTCACAGAAAATATCCTGCAACATCTGGAGGAAGATGGACTAGACATAAGCCTTTGCCGTGGTCAAGGATATGATAATGCTGCAACTATGGCAGGGATTCATGGTGGTGTTCAGGCAAAAATAAAAGAGATTAATCCCAAGGCTTTGTTTATGCCATGTGCAAACCATTCCCTGAACCTATGTGGGGTGCACTCATTTGGAAGTGTTGCTTCCTGTGTGACCTTTTTTGGAACATTGGAGAGAGTGTATTCCTTTTTTTCGGTTTCTACACATCGTTGGGAATTGCTGATGGAAAATGTAGGTGTGACAGTGAAAAGACTTTCCCAAACAAGATGGAGCGCTCATTATGATGCTGTGAAGCCAGTGAGGGCAAATTTTGAAAAACTGACTTCAGCCCTTGAAAAATTATGTAATCCCAAAGAAAATGTGGACACAAGAGGATCGGCACAGATGTTGCTGTCTGCTGTATGTGATTTTCCTTTTTTGTGTTACCTTTCTTTCTAGTGTGAAGTTCTAGAAGAAGTTAATATGACACAGAAATATTTGCAAACTGTGGGACTCACTCTTGAAAAGTGCATTGTGAAACTACAAGGTTTGAAAGCGTTTCTAGCAGATCAGCGCAGTGAAATTGTGGAGAAGGCAATTTGTTATGCAACTACTACGTGTAAAGAAATGGACATTTCAATGGAAAGAAGAGGGAGAGTAAAGCTCCGTAAAACAATGCCAGGAGAGAAGGCAAAGGACGCTGGTCTCACATTGCCAGAGGAAATGAAAAGGGCTATGTTTGAGTGCCTTGATCATTTTCATCACGAGTTGGAAATTCGTTCTCAGTCAATTGAAAAAATCCTTTCAATGTTTGCTGTTGGCTGTTCAGCCAAGCTCTCTGGTTGTGGCAACAGAGAAAGATATTCGTAATTATACTCCAAAATTGACTGAGATTTTTGACGAATTCTCTAATGAAGACATCTTTAGGGAAATTGAACGTCTTCGGAGGCATTTGGAAGCTGCCAAGATCAGTGTTGAAGAAGCAGAGAAATGGACGGCATTGCAGTTCCTGGAGTTCATTGTTAAATGGGATTATTGTGAATCTCTGCCAAATTTGTCACTGTGTTTAAGATTCTTTTTGACTCTCTGTGTGTCTATTGCTTCATGTGAAAGAAGTTTTTCCAAATTAAAATTGATAAAAAATTACTTTCGCTCAACCATGAGTAAGACAAGGTTGACAAATCTGGCTATACTTTCAATTGAGCATGAATATGCAAGGAAGATTGGCTTTGATGAAGTAATCAATAAATTTGCAGAAATGAAGGCTCGAAGGCAGCGGATGTGAATCATTGCACATTACCTCTGCCGAATAGACTGAGTGGTCACTTTGGATCTGTGTGTTTTTTTGCTTATAGAAAGCATATTAACTGTTAAGTAAATGTTAATTATTTAAATTTTATTTATTTCTAAGTTAAATTATTTTTCATAGTTCCATTTTTTTCAAGGTGATATACAGTTTACAAATTTGTGAAATAAATATTATTGAAAACATTGAAAAAATTGTGGGTGTTTTCTTACATTTTTATTATGGGGGGGGTGCCACACTCAGGGTCCGCCCCGGGTGCCAAATGCTCTAGGTATGCCCCTGAACGTAGCACCTCTTGGGGCAGTTGTCCGAGTGGATACCCTGTACGGTGCTGCTTATCCCGTGCCCGAGGTACGTGTTCCCCCTTCCTCGCTACTTTACCCCCTAGCTATCTCAAGGGCTCTCTGCGAGTGTCCCTGAGTCACGGCTCCGCTAGATCTTAGATTTATAGCTGGCAAGAGCGCGGTATGGGTACCCATTAATTCACACCAGGGCCAACGTGCCCCGAGTACTGGGATTGAGGTCTATGATATGGTTTTCAGTGTGATAGGACTCAAATATTTATGTCCTGTATGTTAACTGCTTGGTGTGTAGCCTTTTATGCGCCCCCTTATTGCGCTCGGAGTTTTGAGGCGCTATAACTCCTCCTACTTAGGCATGTGCGTCCTCTATTCCTATTGTGGGGGAAAAGGAGAACTTTTAACTTGTGAAACCGGAACAGACACAAGGTGCCATAAATCTCATTGATTAATGTGTCGGTCGGCGGTTAAGTATGTATATGTTATTATGAAACAATGTGATAGCATAATGACTAACATATAGATTTGTAGAATGTATTTCAGATATATGTTTAGCCGTCAGCACACATACACCGACAAACTGGGGGTTTGGCTGGCCCATTAGTAGTGGTAGCTGTATTACTGCCACCCTGGTGTCCTGGGGTTCATCAGTGGACCTACTTGGGTCCTTGTGGGTTCCTCTAGAGTGTACCATGTCAAGCCATGTAAACTTTAAACCTTAAAACTGTAAATCAGTAAAACATTAAAGCACTAGCAAATTTTGTCCTTGACCCTGTTTGCTCCGGTGTGAGCAGTGTCCATGTCTTATGTATCCCCCTCTTCCCGACAGTCCCGCCACCCCAAATGCAGTATAGTTCCGTTAGTTTCATGAGACTTATGTTATTATCTTTAACTCTTACCCTTTAGCCCCTTGTTCAGTGCGTGCAGTGTGATTAGTGTATCACTTATCTGGTTTCCTGGTGATAGTTGCAGTTGTCTGGCATCTGCCTGTTTCTCGGGTATATAGGGTTGACCACAGTCTCTCAGGGGGGGATGATCACATCGGGGGGGGGGTTCTTCTCTGTCTTTACTCCTTGGGATCTGCTGGGTCAAGGTGCCTACAGGCGCTGGGGCACCTTTGCGATTCTCCCCTTCGGCGTCACTGTTGTGTGGCGTTTGGGGTCTTGTTCTCTGTTCCAACGGTCCGAGGACCCAGTCTGTTATTTCAATGGGTGGTAGGCCCATGCGGTGCAAAAATCCCACGCACTCCTCCGGCCAGCGCAGGGGCACCCAGTCATTTTGGTGTCTTGCAAGTAGAGCAAAAGGGAACCCCCATTTATAGGGGATGTTTCTCACTCTGAGCAATGATGTTATGGGGCGCAGGGCCCTTCAGGCGTCGAGTGTGAGTGGTGAAAGGTCTTGAAATAAGGCCACGTCCGCTCTGCGGAATCTGCATAACGGCCTAGAGCGTGCCTTCAGCATTATGTTTTCTTTGTGCTTATAGTGATGCAGGCAGCAGATGACGTCTCGTGGAGTGTTGTCTGCTAGCCTGGGTCTGTTTGCTCTTTGTGCTCGGTCAAATGCAAGGTTATCTGGCATGTCAGCTCCTAGTATTTCTCGGAAGAGGGCCTTCAGCGTGGCCTCCACGTCTTCCTCGGTGGATGGTTCAGGCAGTCCGCGCACGCGCATGTTGGAGTGGCGACCCCTATTGTCCAGGTCCTCTGTCTGTCTTCGCAGGGCCAGTAGCATGTTCCCCAGTCTGGTGGTCGAAGTGGTGTTGGTTCCTGCCCTCTCCACCGTCTCTCGTACAGTCTCCTCCAGATTTTGGAGTCTGCCGCCATGAGCCGTGATCTCGGACGTTAGGGCCGCCACCTCAAAGTGGATTGCGGTGTGTAGGTCGTCTAATAGGGTATGGAGGTCATTTTTTTGTGACCATCTGGGACACCCCTGCCCTGATGTCCGCGCTGATGTCGGCGAGTGTGGGGCTTTCAGCCTCCAGGGGCCGTGAACGGGTCGGGGAATTGGCCATTTCTGGGCCCATCTGCTCACGTGTCATGGCTGCCGGAGTTTGCAGGTAGTCGTCCATGGGACCTGCTTGAGAGTTGGTGGGGTTGCTCCGTGGTGTCTGGGAGCCCTCCGGTGTTTCGTGCAGCCCATATTTCGCCATCGCTCGCCTCTTCGTGTGCTGATTGTGGCTGTTTGAGACAAGGAGCACTTGTTAGGCTGCCATGTTTCTCGGCGGCCAAGCCACGCCCCAAAATACCTAAAATTCAGTGTTAGTTGAGCAGGAGGATTGTCTCCTAGATAACACGGTGCCATATACCTTCCTTTAATGGCACACAATGTATTGAATTTCAATAAAATATGGCTACACTCTAACGAATATAGCTCCCTTTCCATTTTGAAATTTTAATTGCTAGTAATGATGTGCAACGAAAAAAAATCCATCAGTGTGAACACTTTACACAGTGGAGTCCCTCTGCTCCCCACCTACTAAAGGATTGTCCTGTAATTTGACCTGCAATGGTTTCTATACAGTGTGTAAGGAGATATGGAGGTGGTTTCTGCAAAGATTGGTAGGGTAAAAATGGAAGCCTGGCAAAGAAATGTATTTCACTGCTGGTAAATCCATTGATTGAACAAAGTGGAAAGTGACCATACTTTTATAGGCTAAATTTAAATTTATAAAGCCAAATATGTCAATATTCAATGTAAAAGTCTTATGGTAGGATCTATACTTTATTGTAGCCAAATGGCTTAGAAAAGGGTGGCCCAAAACCAGATGTCAGATAACTACAACTCCCTTGATGCTTTGCATACCTTTAAAATGCCTTCACGATGACAAAGCATCATGGAATCTGTACTTTTAATAAATCTGGGGATCTACCTTTTAGGCACCCCTGGCTTAGAAAAATCATAAGCACAAAGTGTATTAGTTGTATAACTACCACTTGTGAACCATGTCATCTACATATTTTTGAAGATCATTCATTTGTTCCTTTGGGAGTTATAAAGGAAGTGACTTGCAATCCACATTCTCACATAACTTCCCCAGTACTGTTTTACATTGATTATTAAATGATAAGGCCATGAGAGCAAATTGTTTTATTAGATTTATTTTAAGTAAATATCAGAGTAATACACATGATAAAGCAGTGAGTAAGACGTTAGTCCCAAATCCAAAATGATACTGTTATCATAATTAGATTTAGACTCTGGGATAGCTGTTAGTAATTTGCATGATACACATGTTTTTTATATTTTTATTAAAACTAAAATGATAACGTAACAAAATATGTAAAGACACGTTTTAAAATTGCATTGTGAAATTCATTGAGACATTGTTAATATTTACTAATTTCATGGCCAGGAAAAGGATAAATGGGCATCAGTTGGCAATAAAATTTGATGAGAATAGTATTTAAAATGGAACATAACCAGATCCGGGCAATGGGAAAGCCGACCCATGACTACTGACTCCTTATATTTTATCCTTCCGTTACCCAACTCTTTCCCAGTAACTCACAAGTCAAACTTTAAGTGGGTAAGGGCAACGGTTACAACTTTATTCAATAATCAGCAGTAACTTCAATGACTGTCAACTGCTGGTTTTACCCAGCAGACAGCAACCATTAATAGCTATAGTGCCTCTGTCCCTAGTTAAATACAGGACCCCTCCACTAGCTAGTTGTAAAAATAATAAAATAAATAAATGTATTAGCTCTAGAATTATCACAGTAACAGATGGAGCGATAAAAGGAACCATAACTGATTTAATGAGCCATTCACAGTTTCACTGTAGCGGCTGTGCGTGCTATCGGCGTTCTCACCCTGCTGCTGCTCGCCTGTCGGCGCTGCAGCGTAACTTCGGCCTTCCCACTCACCGCCTCATATGCGATGTGCCCACAAGGTGGAACTCCACCTTGCACATGCTGGAGAGACTGTGCGAGCAGCAGCAGGCGACAGTGGAGTTTCAGCTGCAGCACGCACGGGTCAGTCGCTCTGCGGAACAGCACCACTTCACCACCAATGAGTGGGCCTCCATGCAAGACCTGTGTGCCATGTTGCGCTGTTTCGAGTACTCCACCAACATGGCCAGTGCCGATGACGCCGTTCTCAGCCTTACTATCCCGCTTCTATGTCTCCTTGAAAAAACGCTGAAATCCCTGGCCTTTGAAATGCTGTCATTCTGTCTGGTGGAGACAGACAGTTTTAAAAACCTGATGGCGTTATTGGACTGCAAGAAATGCACCGCAGGCCACAAATGTTTCTTTTTTTTATATGTC